AACACATTCATGTGTACACACATCCTGTCGCCATCACCTGCTCACATGTCCTTACACACTCACATGCACACTCTCCATAACCTCACACACTCACATGTGCTCAGGCACACAGTACCCACATTCATACGTGTTCTCACACATATACACACACCACTCACATGTACACATGTAGTCACTACTCAAATATACTCCCACACAAGCCCACTCATACGTGTACACTCAGCCACTCTGATCTCACATACTCAAGCATGCTCACATGAACCCACTCACAGGTGCACATACACGTGTGTCTCAGGAGTGTACACTCATAGATGCAGACGCCTGCCCCCACCCGGAGCCCAGCCCACACCCACTCTCACCTACTCTGGGGCTCAAACCCCTCCCACCGCATCTACTGAGTGAGGGGTTTCTCTTCACCGCTCCTCACATGCTGAGTCTCCCCTCAGCCCCCCTGACTGCTAGCTCACCACCCATCTCCCACCTGCCACGGCAGCCGCCCCCCCAACCCCCTTGCGTGTGGAGAGGGCTGCCGAGTGGGGGTGTAGCCCAGGACATGGGCCTGTGTGTCTGCGTGGGAATGGGCATCTGGTGGGTGTGCACGTGGGCTCGTGAGCACACATTCTAGCGTGTGTCCCTAAGTGTGCAGAGAGCTGCCTGACAGGGATGCAGCTTAGGGTATCTGTGTGTGTGTGCACGTGTGCATGCGCACATGTGTGGTGTGTGGGCATCTCGACTGCTCCTGCGCATTGCGCATGTGGGAGCGCATGTGAGTGACCCTGCTGCCTCGACCCCCCAAGGCGGCGCTCCGTCCCCGCGCAGTGGGCTCCAGGGTCGTGCGTGATGCGGAGACCACCAAGGCTGGAGCCCCGCCAATTCTGTGGGCCACTCTTGGGGGGAAGCTGCTCGGGAGCGCACCCCGCGGAGGCGCACTGAAGGGTCGTGGTGGTCCAGGTGCGGAGCTCCTGCTGGCTGCCGGCTGCTGGACGCCCTGACTGTGTGCAGGGGGGCAGCGGGTGCCTCCCGGTGGACACATGGCCAACTATCAACCTGGCAGGTGGCGCTCCTCGCCCCCAGAGCCCTGACAGGGTGTGAGCAGCCGAGATTGTCTCATCATCCCATCCGCGTGGGCTCCAAGGGACGCCTAGGCCGCCACCTGACGCGCTGACTTCAGGACATCTGCCCACGCCCTCTCCGGACCGCAGCGGGCACCTGGTACTGAGCCCTGAACTGAGCGGTGCTAGCAGCCCAGCCCTGAGCTCATGGGGCAGCAGGGGCCAGAGGTAACTGAGGCTCTGCCTCAACGCCAACCTGTCTCCACCTCCAGCCCCAAATTCCAGTCTCCACCCTGAGGGCTCCACCCTGGTCCCTATTCCCACCCCCCACCCCCCAACAGGATGCTCTTGAGGCTACACCTCTATGCCCTGTCCCGTCTCCACCCTGGAGGCCCACCATGAAACCCACCCCCATTCTCCACCTTTAGCCCCCAACTCAGGTTTCTGTCCTAGGGCCCACCTCTGTCTCCATCCAACAAGGGTCCCTCCTGAACCTCTAGCCTTCTCCCCTCTCCCCTCTGCTGGCCCCACCGCCTCCACCTGTATGCCCCCACCCCCACCCCAGGGTCCTCTTGGTTCCTGGCTGACCGCTGTCTCCACACAGACCACCATGTGCAGGACCAGTGCAGCCTCAGCCCCCAGAGCTCTGTCAACAGTTCTGTTCTCCCCACTTCACGGTGTTGAGACAGGAGCAGGTCACGCAGACAGAAGCTAAGTGTGACACCAGGTCCAGGGACCTGACTTGTCCAGCCTCTTCCCCACTGCTGCAACCTGATCATCAACTCAGCCCCAAGGTGCTCCGAATACCTGGGTGGGGGTTGCAGGTGGGGTTGGTAGCAGCCCAAGCTTGACGCTCTAGGTGGTCTGCCTGCCTCAAACACACAATGTCCTGGCTGTGGGCCCCAACTGGTCATGGCCCAGCCCCAGGGAGCTCTTGTTCGCCAACGGGGCTTCCTGCCTCCGCACCGAGCCAGCCCCTCTTGTCCCTACAGCCGCCCTGGCACCGGGCCATTCCAGTGGCTCCTTGGTCACCCTCAAGCAGCCCTGCTCCACTCACAAAGCGCCCCGGGCTAGTAGGACAGCTGGTTTATTTCAATAAGATGACCCTCTACCATGCTGGATGGGCTTGGTGGGGAGGAGGGAGATCGGTGGGGAGGGGTCTTGGCTCTATCTGGTTGCCCCAAGCTCCTGCCACCCCTTGTCTGACGACGTTGCCCCAGACCCCTAGCTGGGACTTGCTGGTGGGGCTGGTCCTGGGGGCTGTTCCCACTGTTCAGCGACAGGAGGAGGTGGGTACATGGCCCCTGATGAACAAGGCCAGGGAACCTCCAAAGTCAGTGGTCGGTCCAGGGGGTGAGGGCAGTGTCTCCAGGAGTAGGCAGGGGCTGGGGGCGGGCTTGCTGCGGGGCAGTGGCCTGGTGAAAGGAGACCGGGCTGCAGAGGGAGGTCAGAGCTCTGCTGCTCTGATCAGGGTCTCCTCTGCCCATGGAGGTGGGGTAGGGGGTGGGGTGGGGGCAAGGCTGGGCAGGGCCAGGGGTGGGGCTAGATCATGCTATATTCTGCCAGCTGGTGCAGCTCCGGGTGGTTGCAGGCCGCCCTCAGGCAGATGGGTGCGCTGTCTGGGGGTGACTAGATGATGCCATACTGCGCCAGCTCGTGCAGTTCCAGGTGATTGAAGGCCTCCCACGGGCAGATGACGGTGATGTCTGCGGGCAGGGCCGGACATGGGGAGGAGCCCACCATGGGGGGCGTCCCCATCCATACCCCAATGGGGGCCCATGATTTCCCGGAGGTAAGATGCAGATTCCGGGACACACGGGTGTCAGTGGGGGCTCCCTGCTGCTGGAAGGCAGCCAGGGCCCCCCTCTTTCAGCCCTGCTCCTGGCTCTGAGTGGGCCATGGCATGGGGGATCGCCCTCTGCATGGGGTGCAGAAGCTTGGTGCTGTGGAGAGGTAAAGGGCACCTGGGGCCACTGCTCCCTAAATGAACCCCAGGGCAGGCTGGGGGCACTGGGCCTGGAGGGCTGTGGTGGGGGGCACCATGGGCCTGGTAGGGGGTCGGGCACAATGGGGGAGGGGAGAGGCCATCCTACCTGTTCCCAGGCCTTCCATGCCAGGAATGTCATCCCCAAACCTGCAAGGACACAGGGCCAGTGACCCCAGGCCACCCCCCCAAATGGGCAAGAACCCCTCACACAGTGGACCCCCTGTTGAGTATCTGTGCTCCTTACTCAGCCCTACTGGCCACCTGGGGGCCTGAGCTGGGCAGGGGGAGGCAAGTTCTCAGTAGGGCATCAAACCAGTCTGGACCAGAATAAGCCACTGGAAGCCTGCCCTGATGTTCCAGGTGCTCCCTCCTGGGTGGGGGGGGGGCCCAGAAGATGATGGGGCCAGAGCAAGGGGCCGGGGTGGGGTTGGGGGTTGGAGGAGGGACATGAGGTGCACTGAGTGTGCCTGTGCTGGGGATGGGGGAGTGGGGGGGTGCACGCATGTGTGTCTTCCGAACCCACTCAGCAGTGGCATCTAGAGTTGGAGACAAGAACCCCCCTGAACCCCTCCGGTGCTCCCATCCTAGGGAGTGGGGTTCACTGAGCCGGGCCCTGCCCAGGTCTTCCCATGCCCCTCCCCCATACCAATTGCAGCAGGGGGGCCAGCCCAGCCTTCATTGGCCGCCTGGGGTGACCCCTACCGCCTGCCCCACTGCCTGCCCAGCCCTGCTTACCCTTGGATGCCTTTCTTGGGGGGTTTGCTCTTGAACTGCCTGGTTTGCCGCTGCTTGAATTTGGGGGGCCCTTTCCTGGGGGTCACAGGTCCCCCAGTCACTCTGGTGGCTGGCCGGAACTCGGCCTTGGGGGGCTCCAAGTTCATGGTGAGGCGGCCCGCGGTGGTGCTGGTTTCCACAGTCCCTCGGGCAGCGGCTGGAGACTGACCAGGCAGAGGTCCTGTCAGCCCTCCCTCTGCCTCCTCCCCTGCACAGCGACGGACCGCTGGACAGCAGCCCACCAAGGACTGGCCCGCCTTGCCCTGCCATTCCCTCCATCTTCCTAGGAAGACCCCAACCCCAAGTTGGGGCACCCCTGCCCCTGCTTTCAAGCAGCCCCCCATCTCATCCCTGCCACTTCTTCCTACCTTGCCTTAAAGGGAGGGCCTCTCCCCACCACCTGCAGAAGCACCCCCCCATCTCCCCCTCAGGGTCCCAGGCCCCCTTGTAAGGGGGTCCCTGTGCAGCCCCCAGGGACCCCCCCTGGGCAAAATCTGGGGCAGAGGTTTGTAGGGCCTGACAGCCTCATCTCCCTCCCCACATCCCTCCTGGCCTCCCCCACCCCCTAGCTTGTCCTTGGAGCAGCCCCTTATGCTTCAGCTGCGGCACCCCCTCCTCCCAGAGGCCTTCCCTGGCCTCCACACTGCTTTCTCCGCAGCCCCGATTTCTCCAGGCACCTGGTCTACCAGTGCCTGACGGCTTTGCAGTGCTCACGTTCTGGCCACAGGCTCCCAGG